TTGGAAGCGACATGTTGGCAAAATGTGATATTTTTACCCAGCTCTATCAAATACTATAATGCACAGATTTGAGGAAGAAAACTGTGCAGAAAGTGGGGTTTAAGAAATCTCTCCATAAGGAAACTATTTCTAGGTCTTGAAAAAACAGAGGTAAGTAAAGGAAAAACAGAAAAGAAATACTGAAATTGAGAACCCACAATAAAAGAAGTCCATATTACTCTAAAGGTGCCTGTGGTTAGGATTTTTCCACCCTAGAAATATTTCCTCACCAAAAGATTTATATTTAGGCTATTACTGACCCCCCTCCCCCGCCTCCTCCTCTGTGCCCTTTATTTTTGATATTAATTGAAATGTATGAAGTACGAAAGTTGATTTGCTGCTAGCTTTGTTATAATTCAGATAATCCATAAACCAAGATGTATTGTAAATGGACACTTATCAGTTTCACTGATGTCCCATGAGTTCCACATTGGTTTTTTATAAGCCAAGCATCCTGTCACTTGGATTTCTAGAAAAAAAAAGAAGTAATTTATCTATGGGTAGATACAAATCCAAAATCTTTGGGAGGTTAAGCCTATTTTAGAAAAATTGTGAGTGATACTTAGACTGTTTTATAACCCACACAATTTCTGACCATGCACGAAGTTTTCTTCACTGCTGTTGTGCTTCTTTACATTATTTCTATCAAAATGTGCATCTAGATTTTAAAGAGGTAAAATATCTCACGAGATGTGGGTTGTTTCATTCATTTCCATTTCCCATTAATGGACATTACAGGCAGACTGGACCAAACTAAGATTTCTCTAGGAAATTAATACCCACTAAAAAATGGTTTAGGATTACACCTGACACAATTGTGATATTATTTGTGTTCTGCTTTTGGCTTCCTATAGAGCAATTGAAAGATAACAAAAACAATAATGAACTGAACCAAAATAAAAACTCTCTTCTGAATCGTAAACATCTTGACTCAAATGCTAGTAGAATGAGCAAACAGTAAAATAAGGTGGTAAAAATATTAACTTTGTCGCCAATTAGTGCTTTGTACTCAACAGTTGTTCATTAAATATATGTGAATAAATATAATTGTGAAGAGGAAATCACTTAGAATCAATAGATAAGTACAGTTGTGAAGACATATAAAAAACTCCTGGGGGTCTCCCTCAATATAAATGTATGAGATTTGGGAGCGGATATGGCTCAGCAGGTGCTGGAAGAATATTTTAAAATCTGTCTATCATCATTACTGCAATCCCATATGTCCTCACAGGCTGATGAGACCTGGGTAAACACATTCCATTTTTATTCAAAGGATTATATGAGTGAGTTTATTTAACGTATCTCAATAGGTTAATAAGGGTATAAGTACTTTCTAAACCAAACACAAATCAAAACATTTACAACTGAGATTTATCTCATGACCCCTTGTGATTCAATCAAGAGCAATCTCTGCCCAGGCACAGATTGTGATAAATGTTTGCGAATTGACTCATCAGATAACATCTGCTCTGTAATACCTCAAGGGATCTGTTTTTCACCTTGGGACTTGAGAAATAATAAAAGGAATTATTTGTGGTGTACTGAAACAAAACATGAATCCTCTGTGGATGGATTTACTAAACAATTAACTCGAGCACACGAATAACATATTACAAAGTGTTCGGCACAGGTATAACTATTTTTAATCACTAATTCCTTCCCCAAAGGAATGGTAAGCAACTCCAAATACCAACGGCGCAAACAAATTCCACATCTTACAGCTGATTGATCTTCTGCAGCATCTCCAGAGCTACTTCTTTCCTTTCTGGGTCTCGCTCTCGTCCTTGACTGGTTGATTCTAGAAACACTCAGACTGTCTTTGCATTTTCTCAATGTCTAGTCAACAGAGTATGAAGACTTATTACCCGCTACCATTAATGACAAATAGCTCCTTGCTCATGCTCTTATTGCTGCCACCGGGCCTCTCTTGGTCACTGTTTCCATGAGGACTTAGGTAGTTCCCCTTGTGCTTGCCTTCCCATGTGCTGTACTTACATTTGTTTTTCACTTTGAACTTTGGGCTATAATAAAGTTTCCTCTAAGATAGTATCTCCTTAGAGATAAATGTCCTTTTTCTGCTTAACATATTTCTCCCTTCGAAGCATCTGGCAGACAAATAGTAAGACCTGCTATTCTAAATCCTTGCTACCCAGAGAGCGATAACCTAATTCCTAAATGTATTGATTCTTTCAAAGTTCCGAACAATGTACTTTATTACCTTTCCTGAGAACATGCTGTTATTCATTCTTTCTTTATATATCCATCTTCCTAGGGGGGAGTACCCAGTAAACTTTTAATAAGTCAGTGGAATGAGCAAGTAAGGTAATCATTGTTTACAAAAGATTCAGTCTCCTTTGGGGTAACCAAAAAGACACTCATGAGGAAACAGACCCTGATATTTGGTTGACAAGCTTATCTTTGAGTAAATTTCTGACTCACTGCCGAGCACACTGACATTTTGTATGCAAGCTATTATTCGAGGATCAGAGAAACAGCTGTGAAGAGAACAAAGGAAACAAGGTAAAGAATTTGACTTAATAGTAATGAATATAAATTGAAAAACTGTATGAGAGCAGCTATTAATTAGATATGACATCTTAACTTTATATATTTAGAATGCAGCCAGAATAAGTGCTAATTAAATGCTTTCAATATTCACAAGTGATTCCAACAGTTATATATAACTTACTACACAATTTAAATCCTTGGCTTTTAATTATAAGATAGAATGTTTCCTCTTCCCACTTCCTAAAACTGCTATAAACTCTTCCTTCTCAGGAGGGGAAAAAGAAAAATAAATAAGTAAAGAAAGAAATAAAGAACCTGTGTTTCTTCAGTTTTGTGCTACTCTTCCACTAGTACCACTCCATCTGGACAGGTGAGGAGCATGGGCAGAATGGATCTTCAAGAATCCCCCAAACATACTTTTCCATTACATGATTTTTTACATGCATTATTATTTTCCTTTTAAAAAGCTGAAGTATGTCATACACCTGAAACTGCTCTAAAAATATAGCCTTAAAAAAAAATTGAAAATGGCCAGCTGAGCAGTCTTAACTGACATAATACATTTCATTTTTTAAAAAAATATGTCTTTATTGATTTCAGAGGGAGGGAGGAAAGGAGAGGGAGAGAGAAAAACACCAATGATGAGAGAGTCATTGATCGGCTGCCTCCTGCATGCCCCATACTGGGGATGGAGCCCGCAACCCAGGCATGGGCCCTGACGGGGAATCAAACGTTGATCTCCTGGATCATAGGTCGATGCTCAACCACTGAGCCACATCGACCAGGCAAAATAATGCATTTTAATGTTACAGAAATTCAAATGAATATTCTTAGAGGAACAATATGTACTTCAAGCTTGAGAAGCTGCCATTATTGACAACGGTGTATCATCATTCACGTTGGGAATTTGAAAACTCCCAATTTTCAAATGACCATTGCAGGATCCTTTTTCTTCTATGCCTTCTTCATTCAGGCTCTTAGCACAATATGTGCCAGCTTGGACAAGTTAGGTTCTTAAAAACATTCCTTTTATGGTGCGCATAGTAATTCAAACGGAGTTTATACATTCTGGATAATCTTTGCTGACGTTCTTGACTACCCGAACCCCACCCTTTCCTCTTCCCATTCTTTAAGACTTCACTCACACCGCATCTCCTTGGTAGACTTCTCTGAACATCCAAGGAGTCTCTCAAATTCTTTTTATTCTTCTTCTTCTGCATACTTTTCATTTGGTGCTTCCAAACTTCCCCATAAAACAAAAACATGCCTTGTTCTTCCACTTAGTTTTAGACCCTCTTTCATTTATTTTTTTTCCAGGGGGCCAGTGAACACAGTCCCCCACTACCACAAATTGCAGCCGAGTATCCCACATTTGGGAAATTGCAGGGGCCAGCATATCCCCCGTACAACAGATAAGCCTCGCCCTGGGAAAATCACCTTCGTATCATGGTATCTCCCCTGCAGGTATTTCTCATTTATTTCTACATAGCAACTAACATCGTGGCTTGAATATAGTAGCTTTCAAAGGTTCAAGTACACAAAGGTTTAAAATGGGGAGAGGAAAGATGAAACTAATAGTGTTGAGGTTCATTTTATTTGTATACTATTAAGTGATTTTGCCCACTGGCCCAGATGCAACTATTGTATCTCGTATCTTGTATTATCAGAAATGAACTAGAAGTGGCTACAAAGCTGAGTAGTAAAAATCATTGATGCCTAAATTACTATTAAAATGGGGTGTCTGGTTTATTCGTATCATTCCTGTTATTAGAATCAACTGGTTAAATTGCTGAGTAATTTGACCACAGAATGAGGTAACATTTTAACGTCTTTTTTCACAGTTTAACTGTGTATTTTTAAAAAATGTTTTATTTTACCTCAGATGGCAATCATTAGGACCACAGAACTAGTTGAGACCAAGAAGCCTTGGTATCCACTCTTCCTCCAGGGTGGTCTAGTCTGAACGGCATTTCAGCTTCTTCAGGAAAAAAGAATATTAACCTATGAGGTTTATGCTGTAATTCTTTTGGACTTTATTCGTGACTCATCAAATCTAATCCAGTTTCTTCATGTTGTAGTTCCAGAAAAGAAACCACTAAAAACCTGTTAGGCAAAATAAATACTTTATTGTTTTAATTTTTCTTTTTTAGAAATCAGCCTTTGTGTGATAATTCAAACATTTATAAACCTTTTAGTTTTTCAAAGAATATTGTTAACATCCTGACCACTTTTGATTAGAATTTCACACAAAGAAATATACTAGGAGTGGAAAATTATAAATGCTAAGGGATAATTCTAGTAACATTTGGTTGTTACTTTACATACTTATTTAACACACATATGACCAAATAGAAAGCCATCTTCCTCTTTTTCCCCCATAAAAACAGTTTTCAATGGCTAAACTGAACTAAAACCATCTATTGTAAGGAGAACAAATCTAAATTACTCCCATCTTGAAAAAAAAACAAAACCAAAAAACAGCTTATTTATTTTTACCCATTCAAGTCACAGGCCCCATTATTTTGGAAATTCTCTACTATTTAGTCTAAAAGACAGAAGAAACATCTCCTTATAATAAAGAAGTCTGGACAATGCAAAAAGTACATAGTGTTTAATATAAGACACATTTCCAAAAGAAAAATACTACATAAGCTATAATAAAATTACATTTGTCTCGGGTAAAGTAACAATGCTTACAGTGTAAGAACATTAAGTAGTTGCAGGAAACCTCATATGAGAATTCTAGCCTACTGTTATTAGTAACTTCCTCAAGAACTAAGAGGAAATCTTCACAACAGAACAAATTTTCTTCTTGGAAGTGACACTAATTAACAGCAGTAGAGGGAAAATCATTGGTTGTTTCAAGCTCTCAAAAAATGAATCAGTTATTGCACAGTAAATACCTCATGGAGGTCAGTGTTTAACGAAGCTAGTCTAAAGAAATATGTTATTCATACGTTGGTTAAGTCTGGAAGTTTTCAAGTTTTAAAATTAATTCTATGTAGGGAATCAACTGGAAAATATTGACATACAAATAAATATTAGGCTTTTCAAATGGCTACAGTTTTGACAGTTTAGGAGAGAAATAAAGTCAGCAAAGTGCCTAAGTTTCTATGTATGTTTTTTAAAAAGATATGCATAGAAGAAATAAACATTGTACACTGTGTACAGCAGCCCAGCTCAGCAGCAAGTATCTTCTGAAGCACAAATAATACCTCCACCAGTGTGTATCATGATAACTCCAATATTACACAGCTAATACGATCCATGCCAACCTTAAAAAAGAAAAAGTGAACATTAAATACCTTTCAAATATTATTAAAACATACTTTAAAAGTGAAATGAGAGTATTTGCTATACATGCACACACACAAGATCCTGTTGTGATCTCTATACATCTTCCTGAGAGTTAATGCTTTTATCCCTAGCTTTGAAAAAAAACGTTATTTTATGAAATAATTTATAAAGATATGCTCCTACTTTCTGCAGCCAAAATTATATATTATATTTTTCAAATTGTGTATCTGTTTCTCATATTCTATAGAATGAATGTTTTTAGTTTTGTTAAAGGCATTATTCTACTGTAGTGTATTACTGACTGTGGTATTCACCAAGTATTACTATTAATATATATTTTATAAAATGTAACTAGAACTATGAAATAAAATTAAAGTAATCCACTTCATAAATAAAAGAATTCTATATATATTATTACATTACTAGATATGGAACTATGAAAAACATTTCTTAAAAAGGCAAAAATTAAGCCCGGCTGGCGTGGCTCAGCAGTTGAGCATCAACCTATGATCCAGGAGATTGCGGTTCGATTCCTGGTCAGGGCACATGCCTGGGTTTCGGGCTCGATCCCCAGTAAGGGTGTGCAAGAGGCAGCCGATCAATGACTCGTCACTGATGTTTCTACCTCTCTCTCCCTTCCTCTGTCTGAAATCAATAAAGACATATTAAAAAAAAAAAAAAAAAAAAAAACCAAA